GACGCCGCGAAAGCCAACGAAGAAATCGAGCACCAAGAGCCCGACGTACTGGCGGAGATTCGATTGCAAATATGTGCTGCACGTGTTGCAAGATTTTGCGCCGGCGATGTTTTGAAATCCTTCCTTGAGGCTTAGACGATATTTCGAACCCAAGCATACAGGCGCACTCAAGTGCAGCCCTCAAGCTTTGGCCCTCTACAAAACACCTGATGGCCGTGGCCAGGCTGATTCAGATCATTGTTATGCAGCCAATTGCCATGCAGTCATGTTTAATTGTATTCATGCCCGATCGAGTAAATAAGGAAAGAAGCTCAAAGAGCTTTTGAAGACCCACGGGTCCTTCAAGGCCCTCGAATTGGTTGTGCGCAAATCGCGCAAGGCTGCTTTCGGGAAAGCCCGTGAAGGGGCCTGGGTCACCAAGAACTACCTGCAATCGCAGGAACACTGGACGCCGTGAATGACTCAGATTGATCATGCAGCAGATAGCTATAGCTATAGTTTGTAGTTCGTTTGTCACGTACTAGGAAGATGGTGGCTGCTGCATGGCAATGGGCGGCGAACACCAAGAACCTCCGCCGTAATCCCATCCACGGGGAGGAGGAGGCGAGAGTGATATTGGCAGATAAATTCGGTGCTACCGATACCACGACCAATGAGACAGAGATGTCTGGATCGATGGAGATGGAAGACCTGATTGTGTTGTTTGCGATAGATGGATAGATCTACGACATGCATATTTATACGTATCTATAAACCACGTAAATATATTTCATGTGCACGTGAACATGTGCCTACCATGCATGCATACCACGCATATACCTACATACTCACATATGTATGCCTACACACATACCTTTACATGCCATACATACCCATGCCAATGCACATACTTACATCTACAACCCTTTTCCCAAAACCTCCAAACCCCAACCTAGAAAACCCCAAACCCTGAAACTTAAACTTCCTCCCCCCAACCCACTGTGTCGCACAGGATGACTCTGGGTTCTTGATGGACAACGATGTTCCCGATATCAATGCTGCCCCGGCCTCCTTCGTCTCGGGCCAGGCTGCATCATCCTCCAACGACACGGCAGAGAGTGCGGCGAGGATTGATTCTTTCTCTGCCTCTGCTTCCTTCAAGCTTCTAGCACTGAATGCATCTGAATGTATACAATCGACTGGCTATGTACTGCAGTTGCACAATAAACCTTTGTGTCGCAATGGAAACCTGAGGCTGACCTTTCCCAGCCTGCAGCAGACTGCCTCGCCCCTGAGCATCCTTCCCCAGTTCCTCGAGATCACTGGTAGGAAAATCGAAAACTGCCACGACGTGCTTGTGACTTGTCAGCATACCTCGATCTATTAGGTATCCTATCCTATAGGTTAATATATTGTTGGCATCCAATCGCATGATCAGGACCGCTTGAAATCGGTTAGTGGCAGCAAGGCCGAAGCGCTGCAAAGAAGCATTAATCGTCGTGTTGGGCATCCAGAGTGCTTTGGTGCATTTCTTTGTTCGTATGTAGCCTAGGTTGCAAACGACATCAAGAAGCTTTTCAAGACTATGACTGAGAAACAGAGCTGTCAGCATCCCCCAAGTGCTGTAGTGGTTGCTGGAACACCGAGTGTGCCCCGCCCCCCGCCCCCGCCCCCGCCCCCGCCCCCGCCCCCGCCCCCGCCCCGCCCCCACCCCCACCC